AAAAAAGCGATAAGTTACCTGGCCACCATTCATCTTTCTGTAAGGGTCTTCATCACCAGGTTGTACATACTGTCCCCCATGCATTGCTGCCATCTGAGCATTTCCATTGCCAGAAGGTCCTTGCATAACGTCGTACTGACCGGTGCCATTGTATTGCTAGATAAGATTCGGCTTATTTTTATTCGAGAACTGGGCATGAGAGATTACATACCTTTCTACTGTTGACAAAATATCCTTGTTGAAGCATATACACGTTATCCTGAGCAGAGGGAGGTGCCGCTCCTCCTAACTGCATACCACCCATCTGGCTCGTCATTGCATTAACATCGTAAGCTAAAACAAAATAGAAAAATTTGATGAGAAAAACCGATGAAAGTTAGTTTGAAGTTCACTTTAAGATGAACCACTCACGCGAATATCCGGCCACTTGCTGAGGATATCCCATACCATAATTCACGTATGCTGGTGGATACATCTGTGGCATACCTCCCATATTTCTCATGTATTCATGTGGAGCTGTCATAGTAAACGGCTGGAAAGATAGTTTTGTAGAACATGGGTAAGAAAAGTAGCAAACACCGCCTACCTGACTTGGATACATGCCAAGTTCAAAGCCCATGTCGCTCCTCTTTCGTGTATTCTTCCTTCCTGTATCGGCTTGTTTTACCAACAATGGAGTCGCATTGGGGTCCATTCCCTCGATTAACTTTCCATTCAACGCAGCTATGATTTCTTCGCATTTCTCCTATAAAACGACATAAATGCTTGATAACCTTATCAAATCCAAGCAAAGCACCTTCGAGTCCATCCTAGCAAAGCCAACACCTCGTGAATTTCCATCAGCATTTCGTAGTATCCGTGTCGAGATTACCATCCCATATGGGTTCAGAGCATTCTCCAACATTTGTTCGTTGAAATTCGGAGGAAGATTAGCAATGTAGAGGTTTGTCGGATCTTGTTCTTGTTGCTGAAGCTGCTTAAAAGTAAGATAAGATCAAACAAGCAAAAGTTGACTGGGACAGATATAAATTTGAGTTTAGATATAGAAAAATCTAGAGTAATTTGTTTTCGTCTTACTTTGGCCATCTGGGCTTGTATCCCATTCTTTGTCAGCATCTCAACTGCGCGTGCGGCAGCTTCGCGACTTTCGAAATCCACAAAACCATATCCCTTGCATTGGTTAAGAGCTTTGTCCATAATAGCCTTCAATAAATATTTTGTATATACAAGAAAAACCAATTTGCTCCCTCTATGCGAGGTAAGTCAACCAAGACATCCTCTTACTCCAAAAAAATATGATATCATAAGAAGGCGTAGCCAAAGTTAACTCACTTTAGTTGAAGTAATTGTACCGTACTGCTGACACATCTTTCTGAGATCTTCATCAGTTGTGCTCGGACTAAGACCGCGTATATACAAGTTGGTCTAAACAAAACATTAAGAATTGATGCAGTGGTGCTATAGCGGAGAGTAGTCTCAATACATCGATATCTTGATTACACCCAAACGGACAGAAAGAAACTGCTTAGGCACCCGACATACTTGATCCTCTTGATCCTCATCCACATCGCTATTGGTGAAATCGGCAAACTGACCAATGGCGACGTGGATTAAGCGGATCAAGCGGATCAAGTGAAACATCCGC